GAGGGCCGGGTTGGCTGGAGGTGGTGGTGGCGGCCGCCGGAGCGCGTTGTGCCTCCTTTCCTGATTTGGGAGCCCTTCAGAGGCGAGCGTGCCGCGGTGGGCGGCCGCTGGCAGCTCCGGGTGGCTCCCTTGAAGTTTGCCTGGGAGCTGTGCTGAGCTGTGCTTAGCTTCGCTGCTCCTTGGGGATGCTTGCTCTGACAGTGTGAGGGACATCCCCCGTAGCTCCCGAGGCTGCTCCGCTGGTCCCTCGCTGAGACCCTTGGTTACGTATTTTCCCTCTCCTGCCTGTCTTCGGTTGAAAATAAAAGGCGAAAAGTCCCTTGCCATTTTTCTGTTTGCACCTCAGCTTTCTCTTTGTCACGCATTGTGTTTGTGTACGTGCATGCCTGTATTCGTCATTTTTCTCCCGACTTGCAGCTATCTTTTGAACATGTTGGGTTTTCAGCCAAGCCTGTTTTTCCTTGGAGGGTTGTAATTTTCTGTTTTCGCAGGAGGGATGCATAAATTCCGTGGTGGCATAGTGAAATCAGCGAAGGCGCAGAAGGGGCTCACACTTTTCTGTTTGCTTGTGCAAATCGACTGGGGGGGAGATGCATTCACAGCAGATTTTCGTCCTTTGGTGTAAGCCCTTGCCTTAATTTGAGGAGGAGGCATAAGGAGGTTGTAAGTGCCCGTGTGGGCCTGGAGGAAGTTGGGGCAATTACAACGTACTTCGTCCCCCCCTTTGCCCCTGCGGTCCCCAGATTTAAAGGCAGAAAGTGCATCCCTCTTCCCCGGGCCAGGCAGGCCGGTGCGGGTGTGGGGCGCAGGCAGCTAGGCACAGGTGAGCACAGCTGGGCGTCAGTGGCCCTGGCATCTCTCGGGAGCCCGGCGTGGCCTTGCTTGTGTGTGTGCGTGGTTGATAATGCGATGTTTGCTTCCCTTGGTATTAAAGATTTTCACAACTTGCTGGTAACTTTCCCTCTTGTTCAGCCTGGGTGTAAACCCAGTTTCTGCCATGATGCTGTGGTATCTGTGTGCTTACAAGATGTACAAGAGTTTAACATGTTTAGGTTGTAGGTGTGCAAAAATACATGCAAAAACAAACATATGAGGGAGAATCAGCATTAAAGATACCTGTGTTTCTTAGTATGTACTCCTTCCTGTCAGGCTAGAGGTAGCTGCTAAAATGATTCAGAAATTAGTCACTAGGTAGAATTCATATATATTTACAAAAAAGCCCCCTTCAGCTTATGATACATTGTTTGACATGATTTAAAAGGTACTAAAATGAATGGATGAATTAATATTAAATGAAAGAAAATAAGTGTATTTAGTCATAAATATGTGTGTCCTTAACAACACTTTAAAATATAGCTGTAATGTACTTCTGCCAAGTCATTTAGTGATAACCCTGCTTCTTTGGTATCAGTGAGGCTTCTTGTGCAATATGGTGCTACTCACTTTGGCTAAGGATATTGGTATATAGCTTCTTTTCCCAGCCCGTTGTCCCATCCATTACTGTATGAAGCAGGAGGAAAAACCCTGAGTGTACTAGTAGTATCTGGTGCCACTATTGATGTTACACTTGCCTTTCTCCTGAAGAAAGGGCTCATGCCATTTGGTTGTTTTTGACTGACCTCATGGGAAAGCAAAGTCAGTTTTCCGTGTGATGTTTTACTTCCAGAAGTACCAATAATGCAGAGCTGTGAATGTGCAAGGCCATTTTATGGCTATTAGTGACACTGCAGGTAAATCCCAGATGTTCCAAAATGGACTATGTGTGATTCTGAAGTATGTGATAAACTTTAAATCATCTGTGTTCTCATAGCAAAGTTTGCTAGGTCAATAATTGCAAAAGCATGCCCTTCTTTAACTAGACAGTAATGTCCCTTTAAGGGTTAAGCAAGTAATAAGAGATGCCTATTATGTGCAGTGCAGTGTTTCTTAAACAGTGTTGTCATTCCATGATATGGAATGTGCTTGAAGACAGTGATTTATATTTAATGAACCTTCAGGGGATAGTCGTCTTGTATTGATCTGATTGGTCACCAAGGCAAGGTAATTCAGAGTGAAGGTTGACACTGTCAGCCACAAGTTGCTGTCGCACTATGGCAGCTGTTTCCTTTACACCAGAGAGGACTTGGAGGGATTCTGGAAGAAACAAAGTGGCTCAAATTTTTTTCACAGTTGTTTGCACAATGAAGAATTTTCTGGAGTAAATTTAGCTTTTTATGTGTTAGTTTATTTAATATTACTTTAAGTGAAAATTAAATAAAAGAATACCAATAAAAGGGCGAGGAGCATGTAAGTGTTCATAGTAGAACTTTAACACAAAGTGCCTAGGAACTTCTTTTAGCTCGTGAGAACATAATTTAACATTGTTTTACTGTACAGTCTATATAGCTCACTGCAGATGTACCTTGTGAGTATGGAAGACAACCACATTTCAAATGCTACCATGCTTTAGGTGTTGGAAACATATTTTGTTGGTAAGTTTTGTCGCCTGTGTCACTGCTAAGGAGTCTACTGGATAAGGTTTAACCCAGCATAAACTGGAGAAATCTCTGAAGTACTTTTAGACTGAGTACTTTACCTGGCTGTGTTTTGGTAATTTTCCTTTAGATGCATACACTCTATGCATCTAGAAAATATATGCAGGAAAATATATGTAATAAATATGTTTACAATCGTTATGGAAAAGTTTTAGGGACTAAAACATTTTAAAATAGCAAAAAGTATTAATTACATTCTAGTTATTGAATTTCAGGATTTCTGCAGCATCCTCCCATGCCCTCAAGTTAGTGTGATTTGGTTAATTTGCATACAGATCTTGTACATACACAATTGCTTCAAGTTGTAGGTTTTTCAGTAGGTGGCAGTCTTACCTATGAGTCAATGTAATGTCAATGCTGCAGCATGTTGGCATAGAGGGGATGAGGGAGGGAGAGCATTGATAGTAATCAATGTTTTTGATGAAGTGTATAATACTGGTTTATTAATTACAGAGGCTTTTGCAAGCATAACACTTTTTACAAATGACTACATGTTACCGGTTTTGTTAATTTAGCTTAATTAATGTCCCATTGCAGGTTAGTTTGAGTTTGGTCTGGTATATAATTTAGCAAATATTAATACTTTACTGCAGTAATGTTTCTGTAGCTCTTACTAAGGGCCAGGATCCAATTGTTTTAAGAACTTACAGCTACAACAAACAAGAGTCAGTGATTCCCTGGAAAGCTTACAGTTTCACATCTTTTGCATTTTCTTGGTTGAATGCCTAGTGGTCAAAAGCTCTTTTTGCAAGCTAAGTGAAGTTATTGTTATTGGCAGTATTTCAGAGCATGAAGAGGTTTCTGTATATTACTGTTATATATACTCCTGAGATACAAGACTTTGTACATGGTAGAATCTTATATCCAACAACTTTGATATATTTATGGTTAACAGCTATGTTTGAAGTCAGCTGAGCATTGTTCTGGCACCTAAATGGAAGCAGTATGGAAGATAATGGTAACATATGGAGATAAAAACAGATTTTAGACCTAACACCTTAAGTTGTGCTTGCAGTGTTTTAGCTTCTCTCTCACATTTGTGTGAGCCTATTGGCTAATATCATTGCAACTGGTAACATTATGATACCTCATCAGATGTTCACTGGTCATCACCCACAGCTTACTACCTTTTTTTTATTTTTTTAAGGTTACCTTACCCAAATTTATAAATATGATAAGATTGATGAAGAGGGTAAGACAACTGGGGTTGTTTGACCATGCATACAAAAGTTTCAGGAAGTCTTGGAAAATTTTGTGTTTTGTATACTGTTAAACTCTAGAATTCCATGCATGACAGTCTTTTAGTATCAATAGGAGGCAAAGGGAGTCTATTAGGCCATTATTGTAGAACACGAGCAATTGCTGGGGAAAGGCTTGAAAATTAACACTTTTGCCTCACAAACATACTGAAGTTTCGTCTAAGTTCACAATTTGGAGTTGTAATTTTTGTTATGTCTGTTTCATTACAAATACAAACATATTTAAGGTCTTAAATTGCATATTCAAATATTAGGTATGAGTGTTCCATAGATTTCTCACAGGTACAGTTTATTTGCTTTGGCAAGCAGAATAAGTTTGAAGGGTAGATAATTGCTTCTTTTTGTTGTGAATAAAAGGAAGTATCACTGGTGCTTGTGATGTAAATTACTTAAAATTAGAGTTAGCCTTGTTGTAATTGTGTCTTTTCTATATTGCATTGCAGAGATGGTGAACTGAGTTTGAGTAGATCCATGATCAATAGCTCTGATAAGATAATTCGAAAGGGTGGCTCCTCAATCTTCCAGCATGCTGTAGAAGGTTGGAAAATCAATTCTTCTTTGGTACTGGAAATAAGGTGAGTGTCTTAAATAAGAAGCAGTTAATTTCATATTACCTGGAATTCTTTTCATTTCATATTGCCTATAATTCTTCTGGTCTGGAAAACAGTCATTTGATTTATGGTTGCAGGTGGATATTTTATAACTGTACATATTTAGGGTGCAATGTTAAATTCGACTAAATTACATTAGACTCCAAAGTCAAGTTATCCTCCTTAAGAATAAATAAAATGTTTTCATCTGGCTGTGTCAGTCAGACTAATGCAGTCAGTATCTGCATTATGCATGTCCACATTGTAGCTGGTTGTCTAGAACTCTCTTGCATTCAGTGGTGAGAAATTGGCACTTTTAGGACATGATTTCCTCTCATCCTAAAGGTCTGAAATAGGACAGATGGAAGTAGCCTGAACATACCAATTTTTCTCCCTTAACTACAAAGGTTGCTTAGGCAGACAACTTAGATGTAGGAGTCAAGAGTTAGGATATCAGGTGCTGTGAATCCAGCTCTGGCTGTGGCTGGTCCAACACATGAGGTCAGTTGCCAATACCCTGCAGTTTTCTTTCCTGAAGTCAGAGAGGCCAAAAAGAGCCTTAGGGCTCTTTTTGCTGAGGGAGGAAACACAGCAGCAGAGTTAGAGTGATAGTTCTGATGTGTTTTAGTAGTTACAGTGGGTCTACTCACCTTGAGGCCTGAGAGAAGAGAAGAGAAAGTGGAAGCCTCTTAGTGTGTTGTATTGTCATTGTATCTTCCCTGTCTGGGAACCCTGCATATACAGGGTATATGTTTGCTATACACCTTTCTTCCCTGTCACAGCAGTAAGAAGCGTCTTAGCTGTAAATATTTCTACACTTATGGACCTATCAGGACTAACTTCAAATGTGTCTAGCAATCTCGTAGAGTGTTCTCATGGTTAAACTAACTGTTCAGCCCTCCAAAGTACATTACATGCACTGTGTAGACCATGAAGATGATTCATACTCTATTATTGCAATTGTTAATGTGAACAGTGGTGGTCTTGTGGTGTGAGGTTGACCACAGCAAATAACGGTAAGAGAGGAAAAAAAAAAGCTAGCGCCTGTTAAATAATATATAAAAAGTTATGAGTTCTTAGCAGTGGAGAAATAATTTGTAAAACTGTTAGTGTACAGGATAAAAGCATTTCATAAAACTTACAATCACCTGTAAATGGCAGCTACTTTTGTGTCTTACATCAGCTTGACACCCACATTAGCAATTTTGAACTGTAGACAATATTTGATAGTGAGTTTTGCTTTGTGTGAGGACTGTTGATCAATGGTATGTCTGGACCTATTTGGCTGGTAGCTGAAATATTATGCTTTGCTATTTGCTTTGTTGACCATGGGCATCATCTCTGGTCGTCATATTTTTGCACAGGTTAGTGACCAATCTATCAGCCTCAAAGGTCATGCGAATTCTTGGCCAGGCCAGGCTCAGATAGGTGTCAATGAGTGAAAAAGCTCCTTTATCAGGACCTCATGGGGGGATAAAAAGCTTCCACTGGGTTTCTGGTGTCACAAGATTCTTTCTCGGACTTTGCAGCCAGAAGAGGCAGTCTAGGATGTGTAGCAGCTCTTTCGGGAGGGCAGCAGCCCTTTGGAGATGTTAAGCAGGCATTAGAAGAAAGACCTAGACTTTCTGTGATTGAGGTGGAAATTAAGGGTATTATTAATTACTTGAGACTGTAGCAAATTTGCTTCCTTGACGATCATGATTGCTCTAGTGGGAGAGTGATTTTTCCAACTGATATTGCCTCCTGATTGCTGAAAACTTCTTTGAAGAGTAATGGGCAATTCCTGTGCCTAAGGGAAGAAGACTGCTTCTCTCCCCTTCTGTCTGGATGATTTCTGTCATGAAGAAGAGAAAGAATCCACCTTCTGCAAGGTTTTGTCTTAACTCCTTTCTACTCTCTGTAGCAATGTGAAGGTTTTCCAGTTACAGAAATTAGGACGTTTCGGTTGTATTGAAGGCCATACTTGCAGAAAGGAGAGATGTGGCTGAGAGGGTACAAACCTATCTGGGAAAGCCTTCCACACAGAACTGATGCCAGCACAGCTGTGACCTGTGTGAAATGAACTACAGTCTGACATCTCAGTATGTGACTTTCTTCTTCCATTTATTTTTCATTAAACATGGATGTTTGTTTTGGAAGGAGAAAATGATGGTTTTGAATTGCAGGAAGGCAAAATGAAAAAAAAAATGTGTTGAGGATGTATTTGTCTCTTTGCAATGTAACAGAGAACTCGATGAGTGGAAATTTCCTGTCAAAAGAGTGTAAGAACTTGTGAGATGTTAACAGCATCATAAAAAAAAGTGCAACTTCCTCCTTAGAAAGGCTCAGATTATTATCTTTGTTTATCTTTCAAGTTAATATGAAACAGCTATGATAAGTCCCTGAAGTGCTAGCAGTAAATACTGGATTGGTAATGGAGCAACGCAATTGCTCTGAAGCTTTTGGAGCAACATTTTGGGTTCAGTTGTGCTGTTTCCTTCAGATCTTCTGTGTCTCTAAGACATGCAAACTGAGGCTTTCTAGTCTGGTTCAGTCATAATAAACCTTAAGAGATTTTTGCATCCTTAGACCCTTGCTTCAACTGAAAAGTCAGTGTTCACTGTCAGTTGGGGTGATTTAACTCCTTTGACTCCTTTCTTTTGACTCTAACCTGCTTAAATTCTTGAAAAGCTGAGATACGGCTGGCCTTCATATGTGACCCAGCAGTAGTTGGGTCACACTCTGTTTAAAAGTCCTCTTTTCGTTTTGCAGGCCCATTGAAGATTTGTGCCTGATTAATATGTGCTTCAGCTACTGAAGTGACCTTTCTGGTCAAGGGAGAGTGGGGCGCCCTGAAGGGCACAAGCAGGGCTAGAATGGAAACAGAGCCCGACAGCAACTTTCCCATAATATGGCACTTCTGGTTTTGTGGTCCTCCATGGGCTGCGAAATGCCAGGAACCTTTCCATGGTTGGTTGCAGTTAGTCATGTTTTTAACAAATCCAAATCTTAGAAAATTTTTAAAATTAAATAGAAGAAGGTGAATGAGAATCTGCAGTAACTACAGTGGGATGGGAGTCTCTTGGGGGTGAGATGTCACTGGACGTTTACTAATTATATATCAAAATGATTTTGTATGTTTTGTTTGTCTTGTGAAAAAAAAGGAAAAAAAGGCACAAAATGAGTCCAAAAAAATCTAAACCTTGAAGACTGTGTTCAATTTAAAAGAGATCTAAGGTCAGCACTTAAACAAACTCTTTAGTTACTGTCAAAGTGATCAAGACAGTATTTAGAAATTGAAATACTTACTTGTGGTCAGATGCATTACAAAGCAAATAAAAACATTTAGATATGAATAACTATTGGCCTTTCAGTAATAAACAGCTCTTTAGAAAAATAAAAAAAATAATACTTTGTTTTGGTAGCATGTGAAAAATCCTCCCTGTAGTTGCATGAAGTGCACATTCAGAAACAGAGCTCAACTGTTAGAACTGTGGTTAAAAGTGTGAACTGATCTGAATTTTTTAGAAGTCTGCTTGTGATCAATTTGCATAGAGAGAGCACAAAAAGGAAATATGAGAAAGGAAAGACAATCAAACTAAACTATTCATTTTTCCCTTATTGAAACATACAAACACAGTTTGGTCTTAAGTACTTGTTTCTCTTTCAGCACTAGAGGCAAGCAGAGAGTTGAAGAGCACTATCCCTTTAGGACAGGTGTATTTTTAGTGTTTAATTAAAAAACAAAACAAAACAAGAACGAACTATGTGGTAACATAAGGTCACAGCCTGCCCTTGCTCGTGGCTACAGCTCCTGTTGGCCTCCTAAGGAAGCAGTGGGGACTGCAAGTATTTGCACCTGTGTTGGGTTTGGCTTTAGTCTGACCGAAAGGAAGTTTCAAGAAAACCTCTTCAAGGAAAGCAGCATTAGCTGGCAAAAACTATGCTTTACCTACATTGTAGTCCTTGGTGATTTCAAAGGCTGAGAGCCACCTTCTCCCTTCCAACTCGGGAGTGTGAAGCAGCGCGAGGACTTGCTAGGGTTAGAGTAGAATCATTGGAAAATCAAATTTTTTTAAAGACCTGTGTGAATCACTCAGAGAAAGTCTGCAGGAGAGCAGCAGGAGGGGTCAGATATCTACAACCCATTTCCTGTCCAGTTAAAAAAGAAAAGTTTAAAAGAAAGTTGGATGGCTTCTTAGCCTCAGGTAAATGAAGGCTATTGCCAAGAGTAAGAAGTAGCCTGTCCTCCACAGGCGAAGTATAAGGAACAAGAACAGGCTTTAGTTGATGTGGGAAAGGTCCGAGCTAGCACGAGGGATATCGAGCTGCCGGTAAGGGTAGGGAAGCACTGACATAGACTGCATGGGGAGTTTGCTAAGTCCCCATCATGAGCGGTTGTTAGGAATATATTAGGTAAACATGGGCTGGGGGTGATGTAGATAAAGGCTCATGTTCAGTGGGAGCAGAGTGTGGACTAGGTAATCACTTAGTCTGTCTCTGTTTCCATAATGTGGCTGCTGGTGAGCTAGCCCAGCTTCCTGCATACAGAGGGTGCACTTCAGGGGCTTCCTGTCATGGCTGGGGTCCAGACAAGCCCAGATGGCCCAGCAGTGAGTATTTCTGGTGCTGCCTTGCTAAAGGAATTATTTTTCCAGGAAAAGTGTTAGAAGTTGTATTTCAGTGTTCTTGACAGTGTCTAAAAATATAAATCTATTTGTAATCTTAAAGTCAAATGTTTAAATGATTTATTTTCTACCCTGAATCCACACAACTCAGAGAGATGAGGGAGAGTTTGCCATTATATAATAGTTGTTTAGTACCAAGACTACAGTACAAAATAAAACCAGAAAAATGCACATAAGTAGAAAAATGTCACCATTTTGCCCCAGAGCAACACATATTTCTATCATTTGGAAAGCTGTTCAGAGGCAATGCTGCCTGATACATGTACTTTATCAGATGAAGCTGTAGTTGGTATTTAAATATTATGAACATCTGTTGCTGATTATCAAAGAAAAACCCTAGGTCAACCACAGATTGTGACACCATGTTTCTGCGAATCATGTAAACATGTTGCAAACAGGAGGTGCTTAGCTTCAGATAAGGGTGAGCCACATCTGCCTCACCTGCCCACAAAGGGCTCAGACCACACCCCAGATACAGTTTTATTCATCAAAACAAAACTTGAAGACCACCTCAAATAAAATAATTTCTTTAAACATTTTAGCTTAAGGTTGCAGAACACCTTTGCTTCCAGGTTTACTGAAAATCATGCTGGTTTTTTCCTTCCTCTAATTGAGCTTACTTTTGAATTTTATATGCAGCTGGATGTGGATTAGCACTTATTTTAAATTATTTCGTCATGTCTGTTTAGTCAGAATAACCTTCTTGTGCTATTTTCAGTGCTCTTTGTGGGACAGAACAGAGGTTTAAACCAGTTCTTATTATTAACCAGCATCAAGACTGAGACATTCGTGTATCTACTTTCAGTTTTTGTCGTATCCCTTAGTAAATTTTTTTTCTCTTAGCACTTACATGAAAATGGGAAGTATTACTATCCCCATGGTACAGATGAGTCAGTAGCACAGAGGAACTTAAAACAATAGCATGAACGTCTGCATTCTTAATCATATTTCTTTCAGTATTAAAAGATATCTGAATACAGTCAGATGAATAAATTAAAGTATTTTAATGTTAACATTATTACGCATCTCCTATACAAGGATTCTTATGCATACTGTAATACCTGTGTGTACATTTAATTGAATGTGGTACTGACAACCTCAGATAAGAAAATGTTTTAAAATATGTGAGAAGATATTAAGCTTGAGTGACTTTTGCTCATGTCAAAATTTTATTGCAAAATAAATTCCCTAGACATTTTTGAAATTTCAGCTCTGTTAAATAAGTGGTTGATTATCTGAGTCTAATTCAGGTCCACTTGAAACCCTATGGAGGACTTCTATGAGCACATAGATAGAGAAATAAGCTTTGACTGTAAGTAACCAAATTAATAACAGAAGCCAAGGTGCTTTTATTTTTTTGGAGCTGTTTGCATAACTTCACTGCATTCCTCTTATGTTTTAAAATAATACACGGGATACCTATTCATGCACAAATGTTGCTACTTGTTTGCTAACAGAAACAGTATTAGGCCCATTCATTCTAGGTATTGGGGATGGGCGCTCTAAATTACTAAAGTGAATCTTCTGGTGATCACATGTGACTTTTTTTAGTGAGAGCCCTAGGCTTCTGTACATTTCACATAATTTCTTTTGCTTTTTGAGACTCATTTGTGGTCACCCCTTTTCACATCAGAGCGTGTGTGTAGTGAGTCTACGGATAGCTTGGTTGATGCTATTGATAACTTCTGATGCATTCGTCTTGTCTCTTACAGCCACAGCTCTGGCAGCTCTGTTCATAAGTATTGACAAATTTTAGTAATTTTTAATACTGCTAGATTGGGCAATTCCTTCTTTCTTGCTCTTTTTCATTTCGTAGTAATTATATATCTATTGCAGAGTACCCATAAAATGAAGCTTATCAAACCCATGGAGATTTTAAGTCCAATCAACTTACAGGCTGAAGTGGAGTCTTCATCTTCCTTTTACAGAAATACCTTGCCTGGCCTTAGCAAAAGCTTTAGACACTCAGGATTTTAACCTTGTCTATCCTGTTCCATTATTTTCAGTCCCTCATATGCCTCAGCACAAGCTGTCTTTGCTCTGATGCTGCTTCATTCATACATGACAGCTGTAACAGACAGCCCAAGATGTTCTTTTTTTGGTCCTAGTTTAAGAAATGAGAGGGAACACTTGAAAAAACATTTTAATCATGTTTCACTTCCCCTACAGCTTTTAAGGTCAGTTCCAGGGTGAGTATTTTGTGTTACTGGTTGCAAGTTTCAGGCATATTCTTCCCTCTTGAAGCAGTGGCACAAGAGCTGGCTGGTGGTGAGCATGGTGTTCCTATAGGTCATCCCTTTTCACTCGTGGGGGATTATTTCCCCTTTAGGTCTCTCAGTGGGTGTTGCTAGAGTGGCTTCTCTAGTTATCTTTTCCTGTTTTGAACTGCTTTAAGGAAGTTCAGCTCTAAAAACTTATTACATAAAAATAGCATTCTCTTACTCAATAAAATGTCTATTCTGTTTTAAATTCCACCTTACCTGCTGACAGCAGTGGAAAAGATATTGTTTTTCTTCTTGTCTCGTTAGAGTTGCAGAGGCAAAAGTTTCTATTCAAATTAACACATAGTGAGCACCCTGTCCCAGCTCAGCACTCCCCATCTGTTCCATAAGTGTATTGTACTTAAGTATGTGCTTAAGTTCAGATGTGGTCTTTATGCCTCTTCACAAGCATACATGCTTTGAAGAGCAGGGATGAACAGAAGCTTGTAAGGCTTTGCTCCTTTGCAGTCCTCAGCTACCAGTGGCTCCTGCAGCTCTGGCCTGGAGTCCTTCCCAGCTTTTTCTACCAAGGATAAATGTGTACTGAAAACTTCTCAACACTGCCAGTACAGGTATCAGTCATTACATAGCAGCAGTCATTGAAAGTGTCTTTTTTGAATTTAAGTATTGAAGGTCTGTCAGTTTTTAGACCCCTGCCCCCACCCCCATAAGCAGGTATGATTACAATGACATAACTTCTTCAGCTGACATTTAAGCAGACATTCCTCACCTGTTACTGTGGACTGGGAGTATACAACTGTTTAATTACAATAGTTTGCTCAACCCGTGGTAACTTGTTAAACCCTCATATCTTGATCATATGTGTCTGAACCCTGCTAATTGTTTAAACAATTAATTGCAGAGAAGCAAGATTAAGGACTGGACTAACCTGATTTAAAGTGATGATAGAGTTCATAAGTGTTTCTATGAGTTCAGCTAACAGCTTGACTAGACCCTGAGCTGCAGTACTTTAATTTGCCTATGTTCTTAAGCTGATTTTGTTTAAATTGGTACAAAGACCATGGCTGTTCTTGCTTCAAGTTAATTAGGATAACTTTGGCTGAACTTCTGTTAATTAGGAGCAAGCTTATGCTTAACTGCATACATTTTTCTTATGGTGAAGTAAGAATCTATAAGAAAACATGGCCATTCCTGAATGAAGCTGATTTGTGAGAGATGAGATTATAGTGAAGCATTTATTTCCTAAATCATAAATACCTCATATATTTAACTATGTTTCTATGACGTTTCTGTGGTCCTTTTTCAAATATATGTTTTGTAAAATACTCAAAAAATGGTATGCTTTCTCATTTCCAAAGTCATCTTCCCTTGGTCTCTCAGTGCCTTTGTCTGCAGGAAGTCATTAAGCTTTATCACTGTAGTATTTATGTGTCATATTGTAACCAAGATTGGAACTCTGTCCTAACAGCTTTGCTCTAATTCCATCCTAGAGCATGGGAAATGACCTTAGTCGGTCTGACACTATCTACCCTCTGCTTTATGTTGTATGCTTTGTACAGTCTATATTAGTATTAGATAAACTCCAGTGAGCATCGGATTTTATCTATGCATTTTTCTGTCAACCCAGAAAGAACATTCTTCGATTCTTGGATGCTGAAAGAGATGTCTCAGTGGTCAAAAGCAGCTTCAAGCCAGGAGATGTAATCCATTATGTACTAGACAGACGTCGCACCCTAAACATTTCTCAGGATTTGCACAGCCTTCTGCCTGAAGTTTCCCCAATGAAGAATCGCCGATTTAAAACCTGTGCAGTTGTTGGGAATTCTGGCATCCTTCTGGACAGTGGATGTGGAAAAGAGATTGATAGCCATGACTTTGTAATAAGGTGAGTTTTCATCTGCTGTTGAAGATACAGCGTGCTATGTTTCTTGGACAAAAGCTAGGAGAAATGTTTTAATCCGAGATAGAGATTTCAGTCATTATCTGAAATTAATCTGAAACGGTATCCTTCACTATGTGATTCCCCAAATTTAAATACATGCCTATGTTGTTCACAAGAAGATTATTTTTACAATGAATATAAAACAAGGGCCAGAGGAGAGAGGTTTGTGCTACTTATTTTTGATGTTCGTTGTTTTTATTCCAGACAAAATAAATATTCTTATGGAGGGCTTAGTAGAATAAATGCAAAATGTTTTCTCTTTCAAAAACATTCTTTCTTAGGTCTTAGCCAATAAAGATGGCCTGTTGTAAATTGCTACATTACTTATGTGCAGCGTGGGGTAAAATTTCAGTGTGATGCATTGATGTTGAACCAGATGACTGCCATTAAGGTAACTGGAAGTCACACATCTAAATCTCTTCACGTTGCTCTAAAAATGTATCCCTGCAGTTTGAGAAAAAATGTTGATATGCTTCACTTTTTATTCATTCTTCAAACATGCACAGTGACCTTTGGACTGCACATATCAATAGGAAATAAAGAAGAATATCTGGTCTCATTTGACAGTCTGGCATTATATGGATATGGAGAAGGTTGGGCAAGAGATAGATCCTTTTGCTTTTGAAGTAGAAGTTTCTATTGGTTTGGTTTGAGAAGGGTGAAAGGGCAGAAAACAGAAGGGCAATAACAGAAAACAGTATAGAAATAGTTGTCATTGCAAGTTATTTGCTTTTTCTTTTCTCACCTTGAAGAAAGATGATGGCAAAAAAATATCAAAAGGATAAGAAAAAAGAAAAATTACAGTTTTTCAGTACATAAATCAACACAGGATATACACATGAAAGCTGTATTTAGTTTGAAAGGTGTACTAGCAAGTGGCAACTGAAACAATAACACACCACTCTTTCATTTTCCCTATTTGTTTTGCTTGCACCACACGGTAGTCTTCCAAATTAGCATCCTTATTGCAGAAGGAATCCAAAAATAAACGCCACATTTTTAAACCATATTTAGCCTACGGCATGCTTTTGTACTCTCTGAGATTAAATGTGATTCATTTAACAGGACTCCAGGAAAATTTAGATACTAGATTTTCTAGGTGAAAATTTTCTTTCAGAAGGCAAGGTACATACTTTTAATTAAATCATGTGCTGAATTTCTTTGAAGTCATCTCCATGCTCTTCCCCATGTTGTAACTAGCCATGGAACTAGGTGATGATATCTGAGAGGAGATTTTAACTAATTCAAGCCATGTGGAGTAAAGATAATATTCTTAAATATTTGTGTGTGAATAAAAGAATGGTGAATCTTAATAGGAACATCAGGAAGTTACTGTAGCTAACCAGTTATTTAGACTGGAGAAACATCTATTACATGGTGTATGACTAGTAAAGTGATCAGTATAACAACTAGTCGGTCTGATAATATTGTAGATAATAATCTTTATAAGGTTCTGGGAATAGAATACTTGACCCTGCAGCCTATAGAGAATTTTAATGCAGTGAAATTTTTGGGTTTACGAATCAAAGTTAAAGCATTTTAGAAGTTCACAGATTATCTCATAGGTTAAACTATATGATATTTATTTATTTATGTTTGAACGGATGCATAGGTACATAACATATGTTTAAAGTAAATAGCAATGAATTCATTTGTATTTTGAGTTAAAGAAAAAAAGTTGTACACAACATGATAATGTAATCTTGTGATCTAATGGTACTGGTATACTTGGTAACCACTCACCTCTATTGCTATTAGGATTCTGGTATTAAAATGTACCATGACACTTTGTTACTCTTTGCTTTCAGCTGATTTCGCTAGAAGTAAAATGCACTCATTCTACTTGCCACCTGATGTTCTGAAAATCAGTTACTGTATGTACTGTATGCAGCTAGGTGTATAAGCTGATGAACAAAATTTTTGTAGAATCTCCTGACGCTGAGTGCATTATGCCTATGTGCTGTGACTATTTTGGTTAAATATATTATCCAGTTGATTTTGATAGCACTGTATGTTCTTTTTGAGATCTGAAATAAAAGTGTATAATTTTGAGAGAGTTGTTTCTTAGAGCAGCTGTTCTGATGTTAGATCTAAAACCCAACAATACCGTTAATTTAATGATAAAACCGATAGTGAAGACCCATTAAAATGAAGAGGACACAACAGACATCCAGCAGTATTTGCATTACAGTACAATAAACTCAATATCCTGAATTTTAATGCTCCTATAAAGGTGGTATGAAGATGTTAGTAATAACTGATAAAGACACAGAATATACTCTTTATTAAGGATAAAGAAGAATGTCAGTACCTAGCATTTTAATTAATTTAAGGTTGATAGTATCTGTCAATGTCTTTGAAGGTCATTTGAAAGTTACTAATAACTGTCCATCTTCCTTTGAGCTATTCCAGCATATTCAGTACCTTCTATATAACAATGTCTCTCAAAGAACATTGATCCAACAGAGAGACAGTAGAATTGGAATACTTCTATTATGCAAAATGTTTAAAAATAGGCACCTAAACTAGATCAAATGATAAGCATGCCTGCAAGTCAGCATATAATTCTGTCAGCAAATTTTACAAGTAAAACAGTACAATTCTTCTTTAGACATTTCTGAAAGTGCATAAATATGGGTCATTTTTGCAAGGAAGGTAATATCTTGTCAGCATAAGCAGATTTACCAAACATTTCAAAGTGGCTTAATTTTAATTACTTGATCACATAAGGCCTTATTTTGTTCTCACGGCATTAGAAATCAAGAGTCTAGGGACATATCTTCTGCTAGGATACAATGGATTAGTTCCACAAGTTTAGTGAAGTTGTGCCTATTTTGACAGTAGAAAATGTGACCCATCTAGTTAAAATGGGAAGCAAGGAGACTCTTTGCTATTAAAAGAAAACTGTGCTGACTATAAACTATTTCCTGTTTCTCACATGCCTTTCCTTTTTACCTCTTATGTTTTTACACCCTGTTAAGTGACTATTGATCCTTGCACCTCTGCTACTTTTGTTGAGGTGAGCTAAAGCATGCTGCGTTGAGATATTATACCCAGAAAGGGTCTGAAGCATTCTGAAATCTCCGATTCCATAAAATAAATTAGAATCAAAATATGAGATAATCAACCAGATTACATTTAAAATATATAAATGGCACAGTGCTGTTGAGGGAGCTGGTTTTTTGCATGGTACTGTTTTCAGCTGTTTCTCTGCCTGTTGGGATAGATATATGGTGCTCACTCCCTGTGAGATTTAAATGCAATACATCTTCCCCCATTGTCTACACTTTCTCATGCTGAAATTCCCATGCCAGGGCTGTGTTAGCTGTTACATTTTACGGAACAGATGAGCTTTTTATTTTACAGACTTATTTTAAAACATGATTCCTCCCTTAAAAATAACATTTGAATACATCGTGACTAGCTCATTAAACCTTTTTCAGCTCTTAAATGTGGCAGCTCTGGTTTTGCCCTCTGTCTCTTCCTACAAATTATTACACTACGTTGAAACATTAAATGAAAGCAGAAGAAAGCAGAAAGCTATTGTCTTCAGATGTTCTTGCTCAGTGATTTGGGTGCCTGAGAAAGGGGGAGTGCCAGTGTAGCTGTTCAGTGTTTCCAGCCAAGTTAGATGTGGGTGGTGTCCACCTCAGGAGAATCTTGGAGAAAGTCTGACTTCTTGTGGCCACATTTTCCCTTTTTGGCTTCACCTGACGACTTCTTCAGCTGCTGGAAGGGTCCTTGCATGACAGCTACTCCAGGCAGCCCATCGAGGGGCAAGAGCTGATAGAGAAGTCTTCTTATAAAGCTGAATCTCTTGCTCAGTTGGTACATAGCACCTGGTGCTCCCTGTACTGGTAGGCCACAGTACTAGGTACCCTCCATAAGCATTTATAATTCCAACTTTGGTGTAATTTCCTACTTTTTTATAAAAAAGGAAGTTAATTCTTAAGTAGGTGATATGGGAGGAGATTTAAGGATGTGAGTTTACAGGGCTAAGGAGACAGCAGTAAGAAGTGACTTCTGTAAACCCATATACAAATGATCAAAGATTCCAAAGTGGTTTCTTAAATAAATAGGTGTCTTACGAGCATCTAAATCTAGAGTGCATAGGGTTAGCCTGACTCTTTCTATAATTATTCTGAGATAAAAGGATAAAATTCTTTTAAAGTTGCTTACACCTATTGTTGACAGCTCCATAACACAGAGCTTTTAGTTTAGTAGTTTTCTGAACAGTTTCAAATGCAGGAAAGCTTCATTAATCCCATTTGTTCATTGACCGAGTGTCTTGATTAAGAGGTGTGGCGATGTTCAGAACAGTCATAGTCTAAACATTGCCTCTTTTGCTGTTCTCCATTTTTGAATGTTCAAACTAGTGCTCTTTTTTACATTCCAAACTCACATTCCCAAAGTGTGTCTCCAAAACAATGAAACCGATCATTTTGCCTGAATGTATTGCAAGGATAATAAATTTTTTTTAACCCTTTCTGTCTCATGGTGTTGCAGAACTGTTCTAAAGTTTTCTATATCAGAATAGTAACTCTTCTGTAGCATTTTGATAATTGCCCTATAGAATATGCCGTTTATAGACAGGAATGTGTAAAGATATTTTCACATAAAAAGGAAAAGATACAGCTATTTAGGAAACTACTAAGTTCCGTTTCTCAGGTTTTCTTACATTAAAATATCATTCTCAATATTTCACTGCTGTAGGGTTTTTTTTCCATATGCAACAAACTTTCAGTGGTAGAAATTCCTTTCTTTATTTTGGTGTCAAAGTAATGGTATTGAAAAGAACAGTAAGACTGTAATTTGTGGGTAATATTGCAGCAAGGACTCACAATACAGAGGTAAATAATGTGTTTTGCCACTGTTTCTAAAATACCACTTAGACCTTTTCTGTCACTTCACTGTGCTGTGTCAATTGAGGATAACTTGCATTT